GGATGTGTTACTCTTTTTAAGGTTGAATAAATACTGTTACATTTGTCTGTAAGATAGCCTTAACTTTTGGCTATTTACTGTATTACAAAAGTAACATTGAGTTGTCTTCAGTTGACAGCTCAACCAAACATCAGCATTTAAAAAAGAATTCAGAAAGTATTCAGACCCCTTCACTTTTTCAACATTTTGTTACGTTACAGTCGTATTCTAAAATGGATTAAATTGGTTTTTCCCCTCATAAATCTACACAAAATACACCACGATGACAAAGCAAAAACAGGTTTTTAGAAATGTTTGCAAATGTATATAAAAAAAAATGGAAAACACATTTACATAAGTATTCAGACCCTTTTACTCAGTACTTTGTTGAAGCACCTATGGCAGCAATTACAGCCTTGAGTCTTCTTGGGTATGACGCTACAAGCTTGGCACACCTGTATATGGGGAGTTTCTCCCATTCTTCTCTGCAGATCTTCTCAAGCTCTTCTTACTCCCAGTCCCTGCCGCTGAAAAACATCCCCACAGCATGATGCTGCCACCACCATGCTTCGCCGTAGGGATGGTACCAGGTTTCCTCCAGACGTGACGCTTGGTATTCAGGCAAAATAGTTCAATCTTGGTTTCATCTGACCAGAGAATCTAGTTTCTTAATGGTTTGAGAGTCCTTTAGGTGCCTTTTGGCAAACTCCAAGCAGGTTGTCGTGCCTTTTACTGAGGAGTGGATTCCATCTGGCCACTCTACCATGAAGGCCTGATTGGTGGAGTGCTGCAGATATGGTTGTTCTTCTGGAAGGTTCTTCCATCTCCACAGAGGAACTCTTGAGCTCTGTCAGATTGACCATCGGGTTCTTGGTCACCTCCCTGACCAAGGACCTTCTCCCCGATTGCTCAGTTTGGCCGTGCGGCCAGCTCTAGGAAGAGTCTTGGTGGTTCAAAACTTATTCCATTTAAGAATGATGGAGGCCACGGTGTTCTTGGGGACCTTCAATGCTGCAGAAATGTTTTGGTACCCTTCCCCAGATCTGTGCCTCGACACAATCCTGTCTCGGAGCTCTATGGACAATTCTTTCGACCTCATGGCTTGGTTTTTGCTCTGACATGCACTGTCAACTGTGGGACCTTATAAAGACAGGTGTGTACCTTTCCAATTAAGTTGTAAAAATGTAAATAAGGTATTTCTGGTTTTAATACATGTGTAAGAATTTCTAAAAACCTATTTTCGCTTTGTTATTATGGGGTATTGTGTGTAGATTGATGAGGAATATTTTGTATTTAATCCATTTTAGAATAAGGCTGCAATGTAAAAAAATGTGAGAAAAAGTCAAGGGGTCTGAATATTTCCCGAATGCACTGTACATATTATTAAACTGTAATTTATACATTTTTTCCACATTTCTTTTTTTCCACATTTTGTAGGACTCCTTGTATTGTTCTCCTCTATAGGGGATCCAGTCATGGGGAAGAGCATACCAAACATGGTGCAGAAATGGCCAGCCAATGGCTACTTGTCTACCCGGTACATAAGTGTCCACTACCACTGCATTCACTACTTATACTGTTACTATTCCACTAAAGGCTACTATCCCATTTCTACAAATATTGTTACTACTTCTGCACTAGCTTTAATTTTTCAACACTAACAATTTACATTTCTAAAATTCTTCCACGACCACTACCATAAAAATACTTTTGGACAGCTGAAGCAAGTCACTGACCTATGTTTGTCAATTTTTCTGTAAGTTGCAGGAATGTTTTCTTTACATTTATGTCAGAGAGAACATCCCCAGAATTACCATGTCGTCCATAAAGTTGACTCAAGTTTGCCAAAAAGCACCTGGAAGCACCTGGATGATCATCATGACTCTTGAAAAACATTTCTATGGACAGATGATTAAAAAATATAACTTTTTGGATGACATGGGTCCCATTATGCCTGGCGAAAACCAAACCCTGCATTCCACAGTAAGAACCTCATACCAACGGTCAAGCATGGTGGTGGTAGTGTGATGGTTTGGGGATGGTTTGCTGCCTGAGGACCTGGACGACTTACCTTAATAGAAGGAACCATGAATTCTGCTCTGTATCAGAGAATTCTACTGGAGAATGTCAGGCCATCCGTCTGTGAGCTGAAGCTGAAGCGCAGCTGGGTCATGCAGTAAGACAATGATCCAAAACACAAAATCAAGTCCACATGAAAATGGCTAAAAAGCAACAAATTTGAAGTTTTGGAATGGCCTAGTCAAAGTCCAGACCTAATCCCAATTGAGATGTTGTGGCAGGACTTCAAATGAGCAGTTCATGCTTGAAAACCTACAAATGTCGCTGAGTTAAAGCAGTTCTGCATGGAAGAGTGGGCCAAAACTCCTCCACAGCGACGTGAGAGACTGATCAACAACTACAGGAAGTGTTTGGTTGGAGTCATTGCAGCTAATGGTGGCACAACCAGTTATTGAGTGTAAGGGGGCAATTACTTTTTCACACAGGGGAATTGGGTGTTGTATAACTTTGTTAATTAAATAAATAAAAAAGTATCCATTTTGTTCTGTTATTTGTAAACTCAGGTTCCCTTTATCTAATATTAGGTTTTGGTTGAAGATCTGATAACATTCAGTATCAGAAATATGCAAAAATAGAACATTTCAGAAAGGGGGCAAATACTTTTTCACGGCACTGTATGTCATTTTAATAGCGTAATGCAAACCAAAGTTTTCATAAAGGCTCATGTAACCTAATGTTGTGGGAACGTTCTGTTAACTTCACCAAATAATAATAATAATAATAATAATAATAATAATAATAATAATAAATGGTATTTACACTGAACAAAAATATAAATGCAACAAGCAAAAATGTCAACGATTTTACTCAATTACAGTTCATATAAGGAAATCAGTAAGTTGAAATAAATTCATTATGCCCTAATCTATGGATTTCACATGACTGTGAATACAGATATGTATCAGTTGGTTACAGATACCTTTAAAAAAAAAGTAGGGGCATGGATAAGAAAACCAGTCAGTATCTGGTGTGACCACCATTTGCCTCATGCAGCGCGACACATCTCCTTCGCATAGAGTTGATCAGGCTGTTGATTGTGACCTGTGGAATGTTGTCCCACTCCTCTTCAATGGCTGTGCGAAGTTGCTGGATATTGGCCGGAACTGGAACAGGCCAGTACATGTCGACCCAGAGCATCCCAAACATGCTCAATGGGTGATATGTCTGGTGTATAGGCAAGCCATGGAAGAACTGGGACATTTTGTGTACAGATCCTTGCGATATGGGGACGTGCATTATCATGCTGAAACATGAGGTGATGGCGGCGGATGAATGGCACGACAATGGGCCTCAGGATCTCGTCACGGTATCTCTGTGCATTCAAATTGCCATTGATAAAATGCAATTGTGTTCGTTGTCCGTAGCTTATGCCTGCCTATAGCATAACCCCATCGACACCATGGGGCACTTTGTTCACAATCTGCCCGGTAAAGTTGAAACCGGGATTCTTACGTGAAGAGCACATATCTCCAGCGTGCTAGTGGCCATCGAAGGTGAGCATTTGCCCACTGAAGTCAGTTTCAACGCCGAACTGCAGTCAGATCAAGACTCTGGTGAGGACGACAAGCATGCAGATGAGCATCCCTGAGACGTTTTCTGACAGTTTGTGCAGAAATTCTTCGGTTGTGCAAATTCAGCTGTCCGGGTGTCTGGTCTCAGATGATCCCGCAGGTGAAGAAGCCGTATGTGGAGGTCCTTGGCTGGCGTGGTTACACGTGGTCTGCGGTTGTGAGGCCGGTTGGACGTACTGCCAAATTCTCTAAAACGACATTGGAGGCAATTTATGGTAGAAAAATGAACATCAAATTTTCTGGCAACAGATCTGGTGGACATTGCTGCGGTCAGCATGAGACATCTGTGGCATTGTGTTGTGTGACAAAACTACATATTTTAGAATGGCCTTTTATTGTCCCCAGCACAAGGTCCACCTGTGTTATGAGCATTCTGTTTAATCAGCTTCTTGATATGCCACACCTGTCAGGTGGATGGATTATCTTGGCAAAGGAGAAATGCTCACTAATAGGGATGTAAACAAATTTGTGCCTATGGAACATTTCTGGGATATTTTATTTCAGCTCATGAAACAAACATGTTGGGTTTATATTTTTGTTCCGTATATTTAGTTATTTTCAAGGACCTAAAGTCGCTGTTAAGGACCCAAAGTCACTTTAGCTACTGATGTTCTTATAAACAAACTTCCAATAATTCTGCTGAAGACCCTGACGTGATGTGTGACCTTTCATGAATTTGCAGGAAATTTGTCAAATCACATTGTAGAAACATCAATAACAAACATTCTTGTAACTTTGAAACTACCTCTCTAATGTTCATGGAAATATACATTTTCCAGGGATATTGAAACATATTAATGGCTAGTCATTGTTTCCTGTTTATGTTGTTGTTAAGTGATGAATATTGAACGTCACTTGATTGTTGCTGTTGCTCTTACTGTTGATAATTACTCATGTTAATGCTTCATTGTTGGACAGTTAAGCTTGTTAATAGAATATTTGCCTACTATCCAGCTAACACACAACCACCAAACAATTTTGTTTCAACGTTGATTCCAATTTGTGGGCCTCAACATGCATTGCTGCTTTGTAACAACACTTTGAAAACCCTGCAAGTGCCTCTGTGTTAAAAGGTAGTCACTATTAGAGTTAAGAAATGTCTCTGAGGGATTACACATTTTTATGTTACACCAGAGTAGAGTGAATCCCAAAAAAAACAGTGTTGGCCAATGTTATCTTAATTTGCAACTATTTACAGAATTACAGAATATCTGTGAAATAGTTTTAAAAAAACACTTTTGAAAGTGTACCATTAACTCTGTGTATTGTGGGACCATGTATATACTTTTCCATTGTTAAATGTAACAATATTAGACTTGATTTAACATTTACAGTGACTTATCACGAGTGCATGACCAAGAAAGACGAAGCTATCTGTTTTGGTTCATGGGGCCAGGTTTATTGAATCACAATTTAATTTATTACTTTTTAGAACCAAAGTTCAAATTTAGGTGATGCCACATCTGTCAGGCAAGCCGACTTCAGTGGAGGCTGATCCCAGGATGTTACCGACTGAACTGGAGAGAAGTGGGGAAAAAAGTCTGAAGGAAGAAAAGGAAAGGAAATAACAAAGGTGATAGGAGAAAAAAGGCTGAAGGAAAGAAGAAAAAGAGTTGAGCAGCAGTCAAGAGTCTCTAGAGCGACCATCAGTTTCTTCTTCGCACCGGTTGGTTGGCTCGATTGCACATGACTTGACAATAGAAAAACAAAAGACGAATAGCGACGTCAACAACTCTTTACTTCTGGGCGGGGATCATGCCGTCGATGGCCTCTCCCTTCTCCAGCTTCTTCTCCATCTCCACCATGAGCTTGACCCCATCCACCACCATCTGGACCTGGTCCACCTCGGAGGAGCCCAGACGGTCAGCGTTGGAGATGTCGAACACTCCACCCACGGAGGCGGTGTCCACGCCACCTGGAGAGAGCAGGGAAAAGGGGGAGAGATGCGGGTGTAAGTGTTTGTCTCAGACAATCTCTGCATCCTTACTCATACTATAAATTATCCAGATGTCAACAAAAATACAGACTCAATGAATAGACGTCTTAACAGCTGTGGACATGGCTATTTCATAATAGCTTTCGCTCATGCTAATCTCTGTTCCTTTTTACATGTTTTGTTGTAAAAGGTAAGACTGTCGTGATCTGTGACGAATTACAGTTGAATATATCAGCAGCTGTTCTGGATGTGTTTTTTGTTGTGCGTGTGCGTACCTGTGCCACGCTTCTGCAGACGCAGCCTGCCCAGGATCTCCTCGAACTTGGCATGTGTGCTCAGCTTGGGTAGCTTGACGTGCACGCCACCGCGCAGGCCGGTTCCCAGGTTGGAGGGGCAGGTCAGCACGTAGCCGAGATGCTCGTTCCACATGAAGCCATGGTTGTGCTTTTTGAAAGTCTCCTCAATCTGTGAGGTAAGAGAAACAACCCTATATCAACATTGTCTTTGTCTCTCTGCGTTTTCATGTATTTCCATTGTTTTAGGGGTGTTTTTGTGCCATATCAAAATGGTTTGAGTACAAGAACGTACCCTTTTCAGACCAACGCAGAAGCGCCTGAAGACCTCCTTCATGTTGCCGCCCTTCTCCATGGAGATGACACGCAGGTGATCCTCCTCGTTCACCCAGACCAAGAAGCTTTTGGCATCGTTGTGCCTTCAGAAAGGTGGGATGAGGTTTCACATGAAGCATCACTACGATACATTGTGGGATGTTCTGTACAATACACCATCTGGTTCCACAAACAGTATTTTTTTGGTATGGGTCTGTGTTCCAGATACTCACCAGATTCCTCTTGCATCGGGCCAGTCACGGGCCATACCAGCACCCAGCAGCAGGGGGGAGACAGGCTTGTCAAACAAGAAGTGGTCAGCGATCAGCTGCTCCTGCTCGGCATCGGACATCTTATTCAGGGGGTAGTACTTTCCCTTGAACTCACCGTCCAGGGTGTTCAGAGCTGGAGAGACAGAAAACCCCTCAGTTTCCCCTCACTCTTAACATGGTATCACCCTGCATGGAGTTATTTGACACCATGCACAAGTCATTGCAGCTAAGGATTCACTTTTGATCTCTATTTCCAATTAATTAAGAATTCGGATCTCAATTTCCAATAAATCCCATTTTGTTAGTTTTACTACCTAGCTTCATGAACAATCCTGTGTATGCATATGTAGCTGTTGGTAGCTGGGAGGCTCACCCTCGACAGACAGTCTCTCCACTGCTCTGCGCTCGCCACGGCTGTTGTGGGGGGGCAGAGTGTATCCCTTGATGCTGCGGCCGGTACGCACGCGGCTGGACAGGACGTAGTTGGGGTCCAGGTCATCACCTCCCTTACACAGAGACAAGGTCACAACTGAGTTTTAGACCTGAACATTTTAACACATCTGTGATTCCAAACCTCCTATGTGCTGTAGAGATTATTTGCCATCTTTCCATTCTACACCTAATCGAGAATGAAACCCAGAAAATATGTCCGAAAAATGTATACAGCCCTACCTTCAGGTTCTCGAAGTTCAGGTCGGTCTTGTGCTTGTCTGTGGGCTTGTATCCACTATGACGGTCTGAGATGATGGGGTCCAACAGATCCTTGAAGACCTCGTAGGACTCCTCATCACCAGCCACGCAGCCAACGGTCATGATGAAGGGGTGACCTGAGGACAGAGAGAGAAGGGGCTGTAAGAAGCCAGCAGGTCTACAGAGTACAAACATTAATATACCACTCTGTGGTGTATGCTGCATATTGAATCCTTGTGAAATGTATGCTGCATATTGAATAGGTTAACCTGCATATCTAGTATAATATATGGTTGTGGTATTAGTATGTCTTGACTGTAAGTCGCTTTGGATATAAGCCTCTGCTAAATGGCATATATTATTTTCACATGTTTTAATTGCAATGGTATTACGATCGATCTATGCTTAGAGCACTAACTTGGTTGTGCAGACTGTTGTAGGGTTTTGACACCTGCTCAGCTCCCTTTGACAGGGATGTGTTGTGTGTTTGCGGCGGTTAGTGACTATCCTCAGGGGGTGTATGGGAGATGTGTGGCACTCACCAGGGTTGTCGACACCGGTCTGGATGACGTCATCCAGGGTGAAGCCGGAGGGGGTCTGCTTGTCCCTCAGCTTGGCGTACATGTCCTTGGTCAGCACCTTGGCCATGTGGTTGTTGTGCTTGGTGAGGTCAGGGTACTCCTCCTCAACTTTGAAGTTGAGTTTGAAGTTGTTGTGGGTGTTACCGAAAGGCATGCTTGCGTTTTTAACACTGTAGGGAGGAAAGAAAAGAAGAAATCTTTAGACCTTTATTGTCTATTTGCACAGAAAACAACCCAGTGTGCTCTGTCTCAGGCCCAGAGAAACTTCCTTTCAAAGACAACAGCTGCAAAAACTCTTATTGATGTGGATACCCCATATCCTAGTTACAAATGTCAGTCAATGTCCCCGTCCACTGGGTCATGTTTCTGTTTGGAATAGATAAGAGGGAGAAGCACGTGTGTTGGATATTTTTAACACCCTCACCCCCAACCTCACAACCTCTTCAACATTCCACCCCTATCCTATATTACCTTTGCCCTTTATGTATGGAACATATTTCCACACTGTCCACTCACGCAAAGAGCCCCCTCCCCCCCCCCCCCCCTTCACAATATAGCCCCATATCCTACAGTGCGATCACTCAACACGTTGGGTCCTATCCATCAGAGAGACCTCCTGGCTGTCATACCATTACATTTTGCAGCCTCGCTTGGTTTTTATTTCTCAACACCAGGGTCAATTGATTTTAAAGGCCAACTCATTAATTTAATTGACTATACTTTCTTTCTTTCTTTTTTTTACCGCTTTTTCTCCCCAACGATGGGACAGTCTTGTCCCATAGCTGCAACTCCCGTACAGACTCGGGAGAGGCGAAGGTCGAGAGCCATGCTTCCTCAGAAACATGACCCTGCCAAGCCGCACTGCTTCTTGACACACGCTTAACCCGGAAGCCAGCCACCCCAATATGTCGGAGGAAACACCGTACAACTGGCGACCGTGTCAGCGTGCATGCGCCTGGCCCTGAGTCGCTAGAGCGCGATGGGACACGGACATTCCGGCCGGGCAAACCCTCCCCTAACCTGGAAGACGCTGGGCCAATTGTGCGCCGCCTCATTGGTCTCCCGGTCACAGCCGGCTGTAACACAGCCTGGGATCGAACCCGGGTCTGTAGTGACGCCCGGGTCTGTAGTGACACTGTGCCACTCGGGAGGCCCCCAAAAATTGTATTTAAATTATGTTCCTTAAAAGCATTCGGTTGGGATGGAATTTACCTCAACTGTTATTAAAATATTGATTTTCAAAAATGATCACATGATCTGGACGTAACTATTGACACAGTTGATGCATCACATGCCCATGTCCAAAGGCAATGAAAAGGATGTAACTGTTACAGTAACTGTCCGAAAGCAACTGCTGGACATTCAAGAACACCCATTTTTTTTACACCTGTTCCACAGTTGTTTATACACCTCAGACTGTATCTGATTGTGAGACACCTCAGACTGTATCTGATTGTGAGACACTTACTTATTTATCTCAGTATCCACACTAGAGAACCATTTGCCGACACAAAGCTTATAAAACTTTGCAACAGTTCACAACTTAATTTCTTCAAAACGAATCTGTCTTTGTCAAACAAGCCAAGAGAATCAGACTCCTACTAAGATATGCTGTGAAATATTCCACTGATCTGAAACCCTTCCAGAAAGCCCCCATATGTACATTTACTGACACATTATTGCTTTTGCATCATTAAGTCTATGCATTTAAGTATGATGACAATTAAAAGACAAAATGAAAGTAGCTACATGTGCAGGAGAGATAAAACACCCCCCCATTTCAAACAGGGACAAGCCAAAATAACAGGATTTAGCTAACTCTAAAATTACATTTTGTAAACCCCCCAAAATGTTTTTGCTCAGAAATATTTCCAAGTCAAACTAATCTAAACCGCCAACTTGGCCTCATCCCTAAGCTTTAGCTATTCATACAAAGCACAGTGTTGAGTTTTTACCTGCACACCAGACAAGAAAAAAAGTAACAGTCCTTGGGATCAGATCCTATTCACCAGAGCCAAAATATAGAGGTCACCCAACTCTGAAGGTCCTTGCCCTCTGCTTATATACTGGGCAGACACGCAGCCATTGGCTGCCCATTTTACTGCATGCCGGTCTCTCATTGGCCCAAGCCTGTCTCTGATACCCAGTTTATTTTACGGAAGGATTTACATCTCAGTCATCCAAGACGGGGCTGCAGCTGCACCCTCACCCTCTCAACCCCTCCCACCCATCCCCCCACCCCCCTGCCATAGTGCCTGTGGAGGGGATCTAGTGTTTTTTGGTTTCGATCCAAGGTTTTTGCAGTCGACTCCCAACTCCTGCTAGCAGAGTAATTGGAATTGACTCTCTTTTGACTCCAAAACTAAAATAATCAAGGCTAAACAGCTTACGTGTTTGTTTGTTTTTTTACATTAATTCAAAATACAATCAAAGGACAGCTGGTAGCTGCTCTTTAATCCAGGAACATGCTATTGTATCGCAGATACAGTGGGGAGAACAAGTATTTGATACACTGCCGATTTTGCATGTTTTCCAGAAAATCACATTGTATGATTTTTAAGTAATTAATTTGCATTTTATTGCATGACATAAGTATTTGATCACCTACCAACCAGTAAGAATTCTGGCTCTCACAGACCTGTTAGTTTTTCTTTAAGAAGCCCTCCTGTTCTCCACTCATTACCTGTATTAACTGCACCTGTTTGAACTCGTTACCTGTATAAAAGACACCTGTCCACACACTCAATCAAACAGACTCCAACCTCTCCACAATGGCCAAGACCAGAGAGCTGTGTAAGGACATCAGGGATAACATTTTAGACCTGCACAAGGCTGGGATGGGCTACAGGAAAATAGGCAAGCAGCTTGGTGAGAAGGCAACAACTGTTGGCGCAATTATTAGAAAATGGAAGAAGTTCAAGGTGATGGTCAATCACCCTCGGTCTGGGGCTCCATGCAAGATCTCACCTCGTGGGGCATCAATGATCATGAGGAAGGTGAGGGATCAGCCCAGAACTACACGGCAGGACCTGGTCAATGACCTGAAGAGAGCTGGGACCACAGTCTCAAAGAAAACCATTAGTAACACACTACGCCGTCATGGATTAAAATCCTGCAGCGCACGCAAGGTCCCCCTGCTCAAGCCAGCGCATGTCCAGGCCCGTCTGAAGTTTGCCAATGACCATCTGGATGATCCAGAGGAGGAATGGGAGAAGGTCATGTGGTCTGATGAGACAAAAATAGAGCTTTTTGGTCTAAACTCCACTCGCCGTGTTTGGAGGAAGAAGAAGGATGAGTACAACCCCAAGAACACCATCCCAACTGTGAAGCATGGAGGTGGAAACATAATTCTTTGGGGATGCTTTTCTGCAAAGGGGACAGGACAACTGCACCGTATTGAGGGGAGGATGGATGGGGCCATGTATCGCGAGATCTTGGCCAACAACCTCCTTCCCTCAGTAAGAGCATTGAAGATGGGTCGTGGCTGGGTCTTCCAGCATGACAACGACCCGAAACACACAGCCAGGGCAACTAAGGAGTGGCTCCGTAAGAAGCATCTCAAGGTCCTGGAGTGGCCTAGCCAGTCTCCAGACCTAAACCCAATAGAAAATCTTTGGAGGGAGCTGAAAGTCCGTATTGCCCAGCGACAGCCCCGAAACCTGAAGGATCTGGAGAAGGTCTGTATGGAGGAGTGGGCCAAAATCCCTGCTGCAGTGTGTGCAAACCTGGTCAAGACCTACAGGAAACGTATGATCTCTGTAATTGCAAACAAAGGTTTCTGTACCAAATATTAAGTTCTGCTTTTCTGATGTATCAAATACTTATGTCATGCAATAAAATGCAAATTAATTACTTAAAAATCATACAATGTGATTTTCTGGATTTTTGTTTTAGATTCCGTCTCTCACAGTTGAAGTGTACCTATGATAAAAATTACAGACCTCTACATGCTTTGTAAGTAGGAAAACCTGCAAAATCGACAGTGTATCAAATACTTGTTCTCCCCACTGTATATGTATCTAACATTATCCAAGAAGAATTGATTCTAGCGGCAATCGATTCTTTCTTTAATGAAATGGGAGTAGACTCGTGGAGTCAATAGTGAAGGAGATGAGGAATCTACTCTTTTGGCGTAGACTTTCCACGGGGACATCAGGATGGTGGGAGGGGATATTTGAATGGGGTGGACTGGGAGTAGTAAGTAACACGCTCCAAAAAAAACTGAGCAACGCTTTTGCCAGCCATGCCATGAATACGTAGCAGGGGTCCTTCCTTGTCAGGAGTAGCCTAAGGGTTTAAAAAATCTAGTATTATTTTCCCTTATCACATGGCGTCCTATACATTTAAATTTTTTTCCTTTACTAGAGCGACTTACAGTTAGTGCATTCATCTTAAGATAGCTAGGTGGGACAACCACATATCTCAGTCATAGTAAGCTACTTTATTGAAGAAAAATGTACTATCAGCAAAGTCATTGCTAGTAGAAAAAAAAGTTACTTACGAATGTTAGTTCACGAAAGGCAAGGGTGTTACTCAGTTTTGCCTTTTGTAGGTTTCTCTTCTAATGTGTTTTGCATATTACATGTGAATCAGTAATGCATGTGTAATGCATGATATTTACATGTCAAGTGAATTATATGAATTTTGTTCTCTTTAATGCCACAGGTCAATGCAGGCCTCTTGTGTTTCTGTGTGTGTCTGTGTCTGTGTCTGTGTGTGTGTGTGTGTGTGTGTGTGTCTGTGTGTGTGTGTGTGTGTGTGTGTGTGTGTGGCTAGCCTTTCCTATCCGCATGCAAAGACACTTTGAACAGCATATCTAGTTTGCTCATCGTTATATTTTAATCCATACAGAGTATTTGCATGAAGGACATTTTGGCAGGGTTGGAAGCCCATCATGGGGGCGGGGACATGTGTCTGTTGGGGGACGGAGGCAGGCCCATCGCTGATGATCCAGGTTTGACAGACGCCTCCGTGATGGAGCGTAATGACCCCCCTGAAGGGGGATCAGTAATTTCTTCACCACTGCAGGCCATGAAAAAAATGAAGACCACAGAACATGCCGCGACAATAGAACAACAACAAAGCAATGAAAAAGAAAGCAAAGGGACAATGAAAACTTTCAAACAAAGTCTACTCTGACCTAGTCTTGTTCTGGATTTCTTTATGGCCACTGTATGATTAGAGGGGCTGTCAAAGAAAGATGGGAAGATCCATATCCTGACAGTCATGTCTATCAGGGAAGTTTTTCCAGTGATGTGTTAGAAGAGACTAACCCAACGTAATCTACCTCACTTACTACGATGGATACGCTGGTCTCCCTTTCTCTGATGTGGGCTTTCCCGTATTAACGTGAGGAAATACCATTCGAATACCAAGGAGGATGTGGTTTAGGCGGCATTTCAAGATTCTGTTCACCACGAGACAAGCATCAAGGGATAAGAATTCAAGTGAATACACGTTTGAAGCATGAAAATAGATTGGCGTAAAATATCTCATGCTAAATCCATCATGTTGGAAGCAGACCTGCGTTCAATTAGTATTTGTTTTCTTTCCAGCAAAGAGTGTTTGATATCTGGAGGGCCAGATGGGCGAGTTTTGCACTTTTGGGACTATTCATGAATGCACCTCCGTCACTCGGTTGCTTCATGTCATTATTATGAATGTTCTAAAAGATGCCTCAGCCATAGTGTTGCCGTGTGGAAATACGATGACATTGTTAAAGTATGCAAAAAAATTGGTGGGAAATAACTGCTATCATTATGATATTGTCAAATTTACTTTAGAGAGATCCAGGACCTATATACTAGGCAGTGTCAGAGGAAGGCCCAAAGAATTGTCAAAGACTCCAGTCACCCATGTCATAGACTGTTCTCTCTGCTACCGCATGGCAAGCGGTACCGGAGCACCAAGTCTAGGTCCAAAAGGCTCCTTAACAGCTTCTACCCTCAAGCCATTAGACTGCTGAACAATTAATCAAATGGCCACCCGGACAATTTACATTGAGACTGCTGCTACTCGCTGTTTATTATCTATGCATAGTCACTTTACCCCTACCTACATGTACAAATTACCTTGACTAACCTGTACCCCCGCACATTGACTCGGTACTGGTACCCCCTGTATATAGCCTCGTTATTGTTAATTTATTGTGTTACTTTTTATTTGATTTTTTACTTTAGTTTATTTAGTAAATATTTTCTTAACTTTATTTCTGCATTTTTGGTTAAGGGCTTGTAAGTAAGCATTTCACGGTAAGGTCTACACCTGTTGTATTCGGCACATGTGACAAATACAATTTGATTTCATTTGATTGAGATGGTCATGTTGCCATTAGCTTGCAAAGTTTGTCAAAAATTGCTAGCAATGCTAACGTTAGCTAGCTAAAATCTGGTGCCGTCCCCTCAATCTTAGCTACTGTAGCTAGCAAAACTTATACTGCATCTAAAGTCAATCACAATGAGGACAAATGGTTTTCCTGCTAATTATTTGCCTCCTTTTGAAACAAAATCTTCATCAGTGCCAATTGAAAATGAATTAAGTCAAATGCTCAGTCGGGCACAAGTGCTCAAGAGAATCATCATAACAATGTTGTGATGCAACGTAAAACCCATGAATTCAATTGTGCCAGGCAAGCTAATTTAAGTGCAGTTTTAAAGTAATTGAAAGAAAACAAATACTATTTGGACCAAGGTCAGTCTTTCTCTTAAATGTCTTACACTATTCCACCCATGCCTGAGATGTTGTAGAGCCATTGTTGGTTTAGTTCTCCCATTCCTGTCTCGTGCAAATTAATCCATTCATCTGCCACAATAGTTGTAATATTATCATATGACCCCCAGAAGTCAATCACATTACTTTGCACCCATAATGGACACTACAGACCCCTTCCCTAATTCAATTCATTTATTCATTCTTATGATGTTGTGCTGCTCTCAAATGCTCCTCTGGATGTTGTATTTCCTAGATGTTGATGTCATAAATATGAGTTTCAAGTTTTATTGTCACGTGCACAAGCACAGTAAAATGCCAATAGCATATTTACAATGTGCAGGGATACTGGTGAGGTAACAGTAGGGGCTCTATTT